CGGTGACATATGGCAAAATTTTCAGCTAATAGCCTACCAGGAACTGGGGGCTGAATGTTCATATAACCATAACGGTCAGATGCTATTCTGCATATTTTTATTTATGATAACTAGAGCTCATGATAGTTATAAGGAGAAGGGGAGCAAAGTAAAATTTTATTACGATCTGCCTTAAAATATTTGTAAAAAGCCCAATTCTCCCAAACCATAAAATGCAATATCCTTTAGGAGAACCTGTTAGTACATCTTAGCACCGCCGCTGAACAGAGTTTGCACAAAAACATCAACAGGAAAAATACAACTAAACCCTTATCCAGCTGTACCCTCCGTGCGATGGGGTTATTTATCCTCCTGCTTTGCCCTGACTGCTTTTTTGGTGTTCGTTTTCATGCTGTAGGGAATAACTGGCATCTTCTTTGTGGGACTTCAAAAATGTTTCATCAAAACTCAGACTAAAGTCCTACCTGAGACGACAGAGGCCAAGATCCCCGAGCTTGAGGTAGGTGAATAAAACAGGACACCTCTCTGCCCCCGGTGAAACCCACTCCTCTCCCTGGCGTTGGGAGTGCGGCCGCCGTCCCCACCGCCCTCCCATCTGCTCCAGCCTTCCCGGGGACTCTGCAATAAAGAAATAATGAGTTGTGATCGCTTCATAAAATAATCTTATTTCAGAGGATTGCTTCTAAAAACAAGAAGTGGAAAGAGACAGGATTAGACAGCCAACAGACAGAAACCTCTCGGCACAATACCAGAGATCAAGAACAATAATCCTGTTGTAGTCAAAAGGTCGCAAGGCAGCTCAGGATTATCAGGCACCAAAAAGTCAATCAAATTGTTTTCCCCAAGAATTGAGCCTCATGTTCTCAAGCAGAATGAGGCAGAAGTAATGAATTTGAAAGAGCAGCCACGTTTAAGAAATGCGATTTGAGAAAGCGCTTGGCGTACAGCCCTGGGAGGTGGGAGGCTCCAGGCTGGGGCCACCTCCCCGTCCTGCATGGACCTTCCTCCCATCGATGTGCCTGATTGCTTCTTACACCCATTTAACTTTTGCCCACCACATCCTGCTGCAAGGAGTCGCACACTTTGCAGGCTGCATGGAAAAAAAGTGATGGACTCCATATTTTAACCCCTCTCTGACAGCATAACCTGGGGTGATGGCTCAGTCCCTTGAAGGCAGTTGTGCCCTGTCCCCATGCCCATCCCCGAGCCCCCGGCGGTGGCACAGCCCCGCAGCACCGCCCTCCCACCTCCCTGTTTGCAAGACGAAGGGTGTTAGCAGATTGAATCCCCTCCAAGGAAGCCATTGCAGACAAAAGAGCAGCAGGACACATGTTTGAAACGAAGCGTGGGCAGAAACATTTCCCTGAATCATGACCCAAATTCCCAGACACTGATTCTTTGATTATGCCATAAGAAGCTAATAGATCTTTTCAGCTACCATCGTAAAAGGGATATGACTTCCCAGTCTTTAGCAGAACATTGCCCCAGGTAGAGAGCTGAAATGTAAAACCCAATGAGATAAATGTAGAATTAAGACCTAGCCATCTCTTCCCAGAGCCTGCGCCCTGCCAGGTCCTTCAGGCAGCACCTCCCCAGCCCCGCAACTTTCACCAGAGACTCTTGACAATGACTCAGACTGGGTCAGGTTGCGTTAGCTCTTTCCTAAGACTTCCCAAAGCCATGAGGAAAAACTCTATAAAAGAAAAATACAGCTCCAGATGCCTTCTGGAGAGAAAAATGCCATTTGCCAACTTGCTCTATGGGCTGCCACCACCAACATACACAACATTGCCTTGGCAGATAGCTCAGCACAGACCCATCCAATAATCTTTATATATCCCCCTCCCTAAGCACCTGCCAAAACACACCATGGAATAATGCAACGGCAGAGACATGCAGTATAAATTACAGAATACGGCCGTGCAAAGAATTTCTGTGAGGAATAAATTAAAGTGTTCGATCACAAAATCAGTAGCAGAAGGAGAGAGAAATTAAGTAGTAAGAGCAAAGCAGAGAGGAGATGTTTTAATCTTGGGTTTTAAATGAGCTGGGGTGCTCCAGAAGGCTCTTCCAGATGGTGGGGACTGCACAGGAGAAGGCTCTTGAAGCATGATGAACAGAGGGAGGAGAGAGCCGGGTGGTGTTGGCTGAGAGTGGGTAGGAAAGACAAGGCTCATGATGGGTCTCCCTCCATGAGGACCAGTGGGGTGTTGCATGTGCATCTGATGAGCACCCTGATCCTGGGGCTAAGGCAAAGTCCAGTTGCTCGCTCGGAGGAGAGAGGTGCCTCGAGGTAAGCCAAAGGGAGGAGAAGCAGGCAGCGGTGGCGAGAGGGTGTCTCACCACGCTGGGGTGAAATCTCGCTTTTCTTCCAGGGAGAAGAAATCACGACCACCTACTTTGAGCAGTCCGTGGTCTGGGTGCCTGGGGAAAAGCCCATTCAGAACAAGGAGTTCCTGAAGAGCTCCAAAATTTTTGACATCTGCAGAAATGTGACCATCTACTGGATCCACCCCACGCCAATAGCAGGTACAAGGAGCCATCTCCTCCCTGAAGTGCTCGTGAGCCCCCTTGCTGGGAGCAGCCCTGCCACCCACCCGGATCCCCTCTGCCATTTGCCCCGGTGCAACGTGGTGGGAACCCATTTCCACAGCCTCGTTGTACATCTCAGACACGAACACAGTGTTGGCCACAACCACAAGAGAACATGGCCAATGTAATAGCAGGGGCTGAAGTTTCTCTCTGCAAAGTGCTCGTCTCTGCCGGCTCCCCACCGCCCTGTGCTTTGCAGAGTGCCCACCCTCCTCATAAAAAGGCAAAAAAAACCCAAACCCTTTGTACCTACAAAGAAGCCGGCGCTGCTGGAAACTGGGAGACCTAAATTCTCATCACCGCGTGAACCTCAGAGCATGAGCAGACATCTGCATCTAAATCACACAACGGGGTTGCCACCTCCAGCTGCTCACTACACAGCCCTCACAGAGGTTGCGGCCTCTGAGATCTGCCGGTGTAATTACCCTCTCTCTCTAACCCACTTCTATCCAAATGAGATAGTTTAAAAACCCCTACTGAGAAAACTCCCTCCACTCTGCAGCCACAGAGGCGCATCTCATCCCCCACGGGTACCAGTCAGCTCACAACCATCGACGGTCCTGGGAGCAGGTGGGCATCAGAGATCCCCGATGCAGAGGGAGGCTGCTGTCCTTGGCTGCTGTCCCCTTTTTGCTTCTTCAGTCCCTGCTGTTAAACCCTGCTGCAAAGAAAATTAATGTCACTGTGGGTCTTACCTAAGCCACCAACAGCTGCTGTAGCTGGGGCTCTACAAATCTGCTCCAAATCACGTTGCTTCGCTGGGGCTCTACAGATCCGCCCCCACAGCAGCACAGCCCACCATGAGGACATGCTTCCCTGCACCCGCAGCCCCGTGCAGGGGATGCCAACACCACCCACGGGCACCCGCCACCCGTGAGCACGGGGAGGGGGTGGGTCATATCTTCTCTACCCTCTCCTGCCAAATTACCTCCTACAGCCCTTTGTCCAGGCTTGCTAAGAGCAGGAGGCAACAGAGTGCAGCTGGTTTGCTGGTGGGGCTGCTCAGGTTGGAGCCATTTCCTCCTCTTCTTGTACCGTGGCACGAAATTTTGGTAGAGATATTAATGCCTGCTGCTGCGTTTGTCCCACTGCTCCCTGGTTGTTGACAGCAACGTTTGGGCTCTTCCCATAGCTCCTGAGCTGGCCGACCTTGAAGGTGCAGAAGAAGAAGATCGTGAGCTGCTCGTGGACAACCAGAGCTGGTTGGATGGGGGGAGCGAATACGAGGTGGAGAAGGATGCGCAGCCGGGGCCCAAGCGCCGGGCACGGCAGCTCACTGAGGAGGACCTGCCTGTCAACGACTACGTGAGTGCGGGGAATCACACCCTGGGGTGCCCTGGCCATGGTCCCGGGGTGTCCTGGCTGTGGTCCTGGGGTGTCCTGGCTGTGGTCCTGGGGTGTCCTGTCCATGCTTCTGGGGTGCCCCAGTCATGGTCCCGGGGTGCCCCGGCCACACGTACCCCTCGCTGCACTGACGCTGGCTCTTCCTGGCAGTCGGAGAACGGGCAACCGCTACTGCCGGCGGGGCTGCGAGCCCCTCCTGGGCTACTACCCCTACCCCTACTGCTACCAGGGCGGGAGGGTCATCTGCCGGATCATCATGCCCTGCAACTGGTGGATCGCACGGATGCTGGGCAGGGTGTAGCACCCACCACGCAGCACCTAGCGCTTGGGTGCTGCCCCATGCCCACCTGCTGCGTCGCCACCCATCCGGATGCATCCTGACATAGCCGACGTGCAGGTCGTTACCTGCTTGATTGCTGGCAAGCGTGCGAGCCCGCCGGCCGCGGCACCCTCACCGAGTGCACACCGCCTGTCCCCCCCCGCATCCTGCGCTGCTCCCGTGGGGCTGGGGGAGGCCGTGCTCGAGTGCGTCGTCGCCACGCTGAGCAGCAAGAGGCAAACAATAAACGTCTTGTATGAGCGATTGCAAAGAAAATGGAAAGTCGTTTAGTCTCAGTCTGTGATGCTTAATGGGTCTGAGAAGTGATCTAATTGCTCGGCTGCCTTGTCACAAGCATCCATAACTCAGGTACTGGGACTGCCACTGCTTGCCTCGCTGGGAACATGCGGAGGTCCCTAATTTGCTCCCTGATGGCACTGGTAGTTGTTCAGCACGTCCCGGCCACGTTCAGCTCTGGTGTACTCTGATGTGTTCAGTAGTTACTAGTGACAGCTCAAGGGTGGCACCAGTCCCCTGGGGAGCGATGTGCAGCATGGCAGTGTGCAGGCAAGGCGGAGGCAGGAGCGGACACGAGGACCCCCCGGGGAATCAGGCAGCCAAAGCCAGAGGGAGCTGCAGCATGGAGGAGCCCAAGTGCCATCAGCTGTCCCCAGCCCTGTGACCAACAAACAGGCAAAACCCAAGCTGTAGGAGGCAGAAAAAAGTCCTTGACACTGCAGCTGCCCTGAGCAGGACACTGCCTGCAGCAGTGCTGAGGGCTAACGGCCAAAATCCCCGTGCACCCTCCGCGCAGCTTTCCTCTGCTCATGGCCTTGGTGCTCATGCCAGAGCCCAGGTTCCAGCTTTCATCCCAGGGAGCTGGCTGCTGCCGAGGAGCTTTGACATCCCACGGGCATCGCTGGGTGAAACACTCTCGGTGTCACCGAGGGAGCATGCGCTGCCATGGCTGCTGCTTTCCAGGAAAAGACCTGGCGGGACGAGCCTGCTCAGCCATGCATACAGAGGCAGGAGCAGGGGGTCGGGCTCT